ACGCATCAAAAACATGGCACAACCCACTGCATTGCGTGTGCAGAAACCTGAGCGGATCTGCTCTGCATTTGGTGTGAACAAGGCCGGAAGGCAATATGGCAAGGAGGCTGCGAGAGGCCCCATGATTACTAATGGCAGCCCCGGGACAATTGTATAAGGCAGTACCTGCACTGCAGCAGTGAAAGTTGTCATGCAAAGCTTTCTATGATCAGTCAGGCCAAAACCGAAAATTACTCTTTTTCCCACCTTTTATAATAATTGTATTGTAAGCACACAGCGCTTGAATAGCTTCAGCCAGGGAATGACGGCTGCCAGTGGCAAGATTCCGCAGATGGCAGCTGAATATAAATACAGCAGGTAGTGGGGTGGGTGCAATAGCCAGCCTGCTATTGGCCATTTCAAATTGCAATAGCCAATAGCAGGCTGGCTATTGCACCCACCCCACCCATTGCTTGCTGTGCCCTCCTCCCAGCGTGCAGGCGAGAGCTAGGGGATCCGATCAACTAATCGATAATGAGAACAGTTGACAACTATTCTAAAAACCAATATAATCAATTAATCAATTAGTTGGTTGCAGCCCTAGTCCCTAGGGCCACCTTAACGGCGTAAAGGCAGTCGTCCCATACGGGCCTCAGGCCCCCTAGGGTCAGCAGGGGAACCCGGGCCTGGTAGGAAGGCTTAATGGGGCCCTAGTGGGTATGAGAAAGCATGTGCCCTTCTCCGAAGGAAGCAGTGCTTACATGGGGTTTTTGTCTCCCGTCACCTCATCTGATGGCCCAAACACTGCCACATGTGGAAAGAAGGGATTAAGCTCCTCTTTACTATCAATGAGGTTCTAGAAGAGGATGGGTAGGATATAGGTAACTAAAAAAAAGGACCCTTTTAACTTGTCACCTCCATTATACCTTCTCTTCAGTATATTACATTGTTTGAGTAACTGGTAGAAACAGCAAATGCCTTCAATTGTGTACAGGACCAAACCAATCAATTCACTGAAAGGGTAAGTTCACTTTCTCACACCCCACCACCTCCCCCCGGCACTTACATGTCTGAGTGCAGGACGTTTAATTATTCACATTCTGTGTGAAAGCGAACTTCCCCGTGACATCGCAGAGGCACAGAACAGGCAGCCACCCTGTACCAAAGCTACAAAAGGGAACCCA